TAATATAGATAGATTCTATTACACAATTTTACAATATTATAATAGAATTTTAACGCAGAATTATTGTACGAATGGGAAAGTAGAAATCAATATATTTTATTAGGAATAAAGATTTTTTAGGAATTGGGCGGAAAGTTAAAATTCTAGGATTTTGTTTTTATATATAGTATAGTTTGTATTACACTATTTTATAATATTATAATAGAATTTTAACGCAGAATTATTGTACGAATGAAAAAGTAGAAATCAATATATTTTATTAGGAAGAGAGATTTTTTAGGAATTGGGCGGGAAGTTAAAATTCCAGGATTTTGTTTTTATATATAGTATATAGTATAGATTACAAGTTTGAAAGTTTGCAATAATTATAAAATTGATCATGAATATTTTTTATTATTAAAACTCTCACCCATTAATGAATCCTGATGAACGGTCGTGATCTATTATTTTTACTGGGAGACCATGTTCTCAATTGAACCTCCCTCTACATAAACATAAATGTATAGTCAAACTACTAGCTTAGACATTTAATTAAAACATAGTACATTTTTCAATTTCGTATAAAAGTCCACCCCACAAGAAATGTCATGGGCTGTAACCAACCTAGCAGCTCACACATGATACAAACACAATATATATATATATATATATATATATATATATATATATATATATAACGAACATACAACATTATCATCAAGTGTACGTTTAAGTCATACATGGAATCTAATTAATTAAAATAACAAGCAAATTTATAATCATACTTTGCAACTTCTTCTTTTCTTCGATGTGTCTTCATCATCAAAACGCTAAATGACAAATGCATTAAAACTAGAAATACTGATAATAATCGTTATACCAACTAAAAAATATAATTGTACACACACAAAAACTAATATACATGCATATTAAGACAAGTGCATGTCAGCATGTTGTTCATTATGTTATTTTTTTTGTTATTTTGATTGATTACTAATAAATTATTGAGACTTTAACATGTATTCATTGTCTAACATGCAATAGTTACATAGGATGAAAAGAAATGTCCAATACCAATGGCCACATCATTCAATGTAATAGTTACTGGCAAAACACTAAACATTTTGTTGCTCCCAATTTAGGAGCATCATATGTCAAGGCCTTGGGACTATAAGTAATGACAAGGGCGATAATACTAGGTAACTAATGGGGTCTAAATGATCCCATGAAAACTTTATATTTAGTGGGCCAAAATATCAATTTATATTAAAAAATAAAAATAAAAACATCAATGAATATATTATGCATGTAGAACAATATAATTATGCAAAGTATTATTTTTGTCACATATTCTAATAATCTCCTGAAAAAAAAAAAAAAGATTATGATTCCACATTTTTTGTTAGCCAATCAACATATACGGCATTAGTAGAAATTAAACTTTAAGTGACAAAAGATAGAATAAGGTAATATATTGATTTCATTGACCTAAATCTTACACATGCCCGCATTCAAAAAAAAAAAAAAAAAAAAAAAAAAAAAAAAAAAAAAAACCTTACACATACCCACTTCATACTATTTGGATCAAACGCATTTACCACTATGCCAAAAATTATAACTAGTAACAAAGACGTAACTTTAGTTTCTTATTATACTTGCATAACAATATATAAAAACTTGCTTTGATACCAATTGTCACTATCAAACACTTATCACTAGACAAAAATTATGTCAATTATTAGGATTAGACGTTTTCCATTACGCTAAGAGTTATAGCTAGTAGCGAATGCAGATCTTTATTTCATTATATTTGCATGCGTAGTAGTTATTGTACATTTCAATTATAAGATACATATTGGACTCAACCTTATAAGTCACCGCACAACCCATACAAATCAGTCATTATACCGTGGACCATGGACAAAAAACGGCGCCGTTTCTTTAAGTAAAGAAACGGCGGCCGTTATATCTTAACAGAGCCCGTATTTTTTGTGTGTTCATAACAAAATAAAGCTATAGTATATCTAAAATGAAATTGTCTCACATATTGTTTTTATATTATCAAATGAAACTGTAATTGAATTGAAATGATACTTTAGTTGTGTTGAAATGAAACTACAGTATGTATAAAATGAAACTGAATAATATCTCATATATTGAGTGTATATTGTCAAATAGAACTGTAGTTGAATAGAAATGATACTGTAGTTATGTTGTAATAAAACTACACTGTATATAAAATGAAACTGAATAGCAGTTTCACATATTTGAGTGTATATTGTCCAATGAAACTGTAGTTATATTGAAATGATATTGTAATTGTGTTGTAATGAAACTACAGTGTATATATAAAATGAAACTGAATAACAGTTTCACATATGAGTGTATAATGTCGAATGAAACTGTAATTATATCGAAATGAAACTGTAGTTATGTTGAAATGAAACTATAGTGTATATAAAATGAAACTGAATATGTGATACAAATAGAGCTACTTTACGTAGAGCAGCGTGAAACGAGTACCGTTTCTTTTCATTAAAAGAAATGAAAAAAAAAAACGGCACCGTTTTGGACCATGGTCCACGTATAATTTGCCCCATACAACTACAATTGGCCAAGAAAATGGATTTTTGAAGGATTTGAAAAGTCTCAAAATGAGGATAAAAAGGAAAATACTATAGTACTCATATTCTCTACTCCTAACTTTTACTCCTACAATTAAAATATTGATGTACACTTTTACAAGGGCCCACATGAAGAAAATAACCTATCAGAATTCGCTACATCAGAAAGTAAATTTGGGTGAATAAAATTTGGGAGTACATGTACAACTCGGATAAAAAATGGTGATCCAAGGGAGGTAATTAAGTTGTGAAAACGTTGAAACATTTTCATAGGTTGGTTGAGGGGGTATAAGGGTATGGGAGGCATGAGGTATGTGGACCAGAAGAGCACGAAAGATGATAGACAAAATAAAAGACAGACCATGTACGTAACATTACCAAATTCATGCATATATGGTTTTCGATTTTGCCACATAATTAACAGATCGAAAAGCACGCACAACGTGAGACATATCTTTGACCCATGTTCTCCCCACCTCTAATGGATTATATTCCCAAGTACTAGTAGTGGATCCCAAAAACAAAACATTCCATGTACCTAGAGACGCAAATCTTCATTATATTCTTCACAACCATACAACGTAACTAACCGAAAGAATATATGATATACATGCATCATGCTTCATGTATGCGCGCTGCTACCACAAAACATGTTGCCTGATTATGATCAGCCAATTAAGTTGTTGACAAGTTATGATAGCTAGCTGATATGTTCAAAACAAATGGCATCAGGTTCCAACGATGAGAATCTGTGATTTGATTAATTAATAAAATTATACGATAATAAATACAATATGTACAAGATAGAATCACAGTATATCTCAAATTCAAAATGATCAGTAGAGTCCTAATACTTCCTCTCAAGTTGATGGTAATGGAGCAACCTCAAACTTGTTACAAAGAAGAGAAATGAGGAGCCGGTAGAGGCTTCGTGAAAATATCTGCAATTTAATCCTTCGTGAAGATAAAATTCACTTGAATATCACCAGCAGCTACCTTATCACGTACAAAGTGGTAGTCGATCTATCTCCACATGTTTGGTTCGGACATGAAAGACCGGATTAGCACACATATAAGTTGCTCCAAGATTATCACACCATAACTTAGGCACAGGAACAGAGCCAACATCTAGCTCACGCAAGAGGGAAACAAGCCACATTACCACAGCACAAACATCAGCTTGAGCCTTGTATTCTGCTTTAGTAGAAGAACGCGCTATTGTTTTCTGCTTCTTACAGATCATGAGGTCAGATTATACCAATGAGTCATCAACAAATCTCATCAAGTTCTTACCCCGAAAAAACGGTACAAGTTGTGTCTTCCAGAACAAAAAATTACGAGAAGTCAACTTAAAGCTGACAAAATGATGTGCCATAGACAAGGAGCTCGTAGTAACAACACACTGGAGTAGCAGCAAGTACATCAGAGACAATCCGTTCAGATGAAACCGCAACAGATCCGTCAGAAGCCGGTCAACCATAGCAGAGAAACTCTGAACTATTGATACCATATGAGAACCTGTGATTTGATTATGATAAAACTATATTAGTATACAACAATAAATACAATATATACAAGATAGAGTCACAGTATATCTCAAACTCAGTAGAGTCCTAATACCAACAACTAAGTTTTGTAACAACATCCCACTTGTGTTATATTAATGGCGAAAGCGGATCAGACATCTAAGTGTGGGCGTTGTAATCGAGTTAGCATTCAAAGTCTCATGTTTAGACATGCTTATTGGTAAGCGTTGGTGCCTTGGTTCCTTGGTGATAGTGTTTCAAGTACAGTGACTCAACTGCCCATTAAGTGGGATGGTCAGTGTCGTGTTCCGAAAGAACTCAATTCATTGGATGAAACTCTCACTCTGACCGTCAATGCTTAATCATGTGTCTGCGTATCCAACTTAGTGACTCAACAGCCCATTAGGTGGGAGGATCAATGTTTGGTGTTTACAAGGAGCTCACCACATTGGGTGAAACTCCCACACTGAGACGGTCAAGACTCGATCATGTGTCTGAATTCCTGATACAGTGACTTAGCAATTCATTAGGTGGGAGAATTAGTGTTTGGTGTCCACAAAGAACTCACCACATTAAGTAAAACTCTTATACTAGGACTGCCAAGACTTGATCATGTGTCCATGTTCACAATCTACCATTCATGAACCAATTGAACACTGAGCAGTGACATTATGCAATTTGCAGGTCACATTTATGACAGTACTGACTTCTACTGTACATAAGACTGCATATATACATGTGGAATGAATGGCTTGTAAGTCTTTTAAATGCTAACATTAGGTATGCTACAACAAGGTCAATAAAACACATCCTCATTCTTTTCAAAAGGACATGATAATACACTGGTTGGTGGGTATATCTTCAAATTCCAAAAAAAACAAGTGAATAGTGATCTTAGCCATTGCAAAGTGGCATAAGACATTTGAACAGTGATCTTATTATCAGACCACATTCAAATGAAATGTTGGGAGTTTCTCATCACTGCTTTGAATACTGTACACTTAAGTTAATTACTTCATATCAATTTTCATCAGTCCACTACTCCATCAACTATACTAACTAATGGTATAAAAAATTAGAAGGCAATGATGCTAATTAAAAGAATATATATTAAATATTATGACTAGAAGAACATAATATATTCTATACTTGCTTTCATTCTCTAATACTTTTTATTATGATTTGAGGACATTGCATCATATTCTTTATCATGCAATGCTTCTGCTTCTTAGCAACAGGACTCTGGTAAGTTCATCAGCGATTCCTTGCAAAATAACCGGTTTACGAATAATACCATTCATCCCGACCTGAATGCATCTTTCACTCGCATCTTCATCATCGTTTGCAGTTAGAGCGATGATCAGTGGCCAGCTTCCGCTTCTGAACTTGCGAATTCTCATGGCGACTTCAAAACCATCGAGATCGGGCAGGTGAAGGTCCAAAAGGACGACTTGGAATGGGCATACTTGAGTTCCTAGAGCCCCGAGACATTCGTATCCGGTTGAAACTGCAGAAACGTTGCACCCCAGTTTCTCGAGCAGCCTACGGGTTACTCCCCTGTTGATACCATCATGGTCGGCTAACAGAACTTCGAGCCCGGGCAAAAGAGAGCTCGGGTGTGTATAACTGGAAGATTCGGTGCACCCAGACATGCCTGAAGTGGATGGCCCGAGATGAAAGGCAAGAACGACTGCCATGCTTTGATGAAAGCCCTTAGGATTTGGCACTACCGAGATGTTTCCTTGCATTAACTTCGTATTATAAAAGTCAGTTTACAATCTGAAACATAATTCAAGAATGCGAGAGAGATAGAGAGAATCAATATACCTGAACTAGCTTTTTGCACACGGTGAAGCTTAGAACTTCTTCAACCTCCCTCCGGCCAAATGTCTCGCTACATTGTGAACCTTTGTATACACCCTCGGGCTGAGAACTATTACCGACAATCCCGATTTCAAACTTGATATGAACATACTCACTAGACGACTTTCTCCATCCTAAATCATTTCCTCCCTCACGGGTTATGGAGAATTTGATGCACCCTCCACCGCTGTTCTTGAGTAGATTTCCAACCATATGCAAAATTACCTGAAAAACTCGAATTTCATTGCCAATAACATGATTAGGCAGAGATTTGTCCACTTCAACCGCAAATTCGTAGCCCTTAAAAGCGCAAAGGCACTTGGCAAGGCAGATAGCTTCTTTGATCATAGAATGTAATTGAAACGATCTCATCTCAAGTTGGAATCTTCCGTTATGCTTTGTTGATGTATCCATTGCATCGTTAATCAAAGTCGAGAGGACATTGCTGGTCTTCGACAAGGCGTCTCTAAGGAGTTTCTGCTCGGGATTTAATTGCTCGTCCTGCAAAACCGAGAGCAGACCCAAAATCGAGTGCATAGGTCTTCTCATGCCATTGCTCATGACCATCTGGAATGAATTCCTAGCCTGACTGGCCCTCAAAGCACCTTGCTGTGCTTGATGAAGAGCCCGGTTTTGCTCTTCTAATTTATCCCGCATATTTTGGACCTCCTCGAGCACCGCAGCATGGGAAATTGCCACCGCAACTTGATCCGCCACGACCTTTACTATTCCCATTTCCTGGTTGCCCCAGCATCTACCCTGTCCAGCGGGGATAACCAAAACGAGGATAGCATAACATTGCGGGACGAGCTCAGGGGTCCCGCCCTTAAAGTTTGCGACCCTCAGCATTGGCATCCGTATCGCCGCCACACTTCCCGGCTCACAAACCCCTACTCCCCCACTACTTGCAACAGCAAGCGGTGTATCGGGGTCGAGTAGTTTCACTTCAACGCTCTGCTTAATTTCCTGTACGACTGGATCGAGGACTGGAATAGGGAAGTTACGCCCATCCAAGAAGCTCCTTCCTCTCACCTCATGAGTCAGCTCCATTTCCGTTTTCTCCTCATTTGGCATCCAAATCGCACAGTTATGCAAATCCAGCGTCTTCGATAGCTCTATAAGAGTCGTATACAAAATCGTGTGTCGATCAAGTGACTTGCGAATCTCTCGGGTGAGCATCCGGACATGCCACCCGGCTTCTTTCTGTTTCTTTATCATTCCAACTTCTCGACCAAGATCCCAAGCCTTCTTTTTCAGCATAAACTCTCGTACCTTCACCTTGAGCAGCAAGGGGATAAGGGAGACGAGGGTAATAGCAGTAGCAAACGACACCAAAGCCGTGAGGACTTTGAAAATGGTAAGCGCAAGCATCAAATGAAACGAGTGTTGGCCATAATAAGTCCAACCCATGAGCAAATGCGTCATTCCACACAGAACAATGAAGGCAATGAACTCAACAAGTATCAATTTGAACGGCGCATTGGAGCAGCTAACGAAGTAAAGAAGCTCAATCGGGATGGAAAAATAGGCCACTGCAATCAAGAAATCGCCAACTTTTTGGCACTCCATAATGGTCTCAACACTCCAAAACCCATCATAATCACAGTTGCATCTGAAGAACCCATTATCAGCAACTGTGAATGCCACAAGGGAAACCCAAACCAACACCCTCAATGCGAATATCTTCGACATTGTATCTAATCCACTAAACTCCTCAATCTATTCATCAAACACACCCAAATTCTCCACTGACCCCTCAATACAGGTCAATTGGCAATTTGTGCATCAGTGCTCACTTGCAAACTCATCAAACAGCATTTATAGCACTCACTACATAAGAAAAGTAAAAAATTAATAACATACAAATACCAAAAATCAAGAAACACATACAATTCTCAGTAGAATATTTCATCAATACCTTGATTTGCAGAACCAAAGACTAAAAAGTAAAAACACCAACTAGCTCAAGAACACTAATTTCCCCTCATTCAATAACACACACAGATGAATAAGAACTATAAAACAACCTATGGCCAAGATTCCTACCATAATCACCAAAAGGAAGAAAACACAAGTAACCATAGATATGTTTACATATATACAGAAGAAAGATTGAAACTTTACCAGAAATTTTGAAAACCCACCACCCACACCCACCTCCAGTTGACATTGGAAACCCAGAAGAAGCCAACCCAGTCCAGCCTCCAGATCTTATCCTTCACCCCCACATGCAGACACAAATAAATGCACGCACATAGTACACATACATGGCTGTATATATATGTGTGTGTTTTTTTATAAGAGTGTACAATAAATATATATATATTTACAGAGCTCTAACCATCAAATCCTTATCCAATCTCTATATTCACATAGACTTCCACCCTGCATTGCTTTGAAATGAAAAAAGAACACTACACTTTTTCCCCAAAATAGCAGAAAAGTCATTAAATCAATGCACCGTCATACACAAACCGGGTACCACATTTGTACCCGGCCCTCGTTCATCAAACCCGGCAATATACAGAGCATCAACAGCAGCAGAGAAGCGTGCGAAACAGAGCTACCATAACCAAAAATTCACACATTTACTCCACACCACCCATAGCCGCAATACCCAAATACAAAGATTCAAAGAAACTCTATGGGTTGCGAAGGAAATTGCTAAAGATTCAAGATTTTTATAGGAGGTTTCTGGGCAGGGGATGACTATGAAGACTGTTTATCCTTCCAAACAAAGCACATAGACATGTATGCATATATATGTATATAGACAGACAGTGAGAGAGAGAGAGAGAGAGAGGTTTTAAGCGCCGTTGTTTGGGAGAAAGAGAAAGCAAGGAGACAGGTGGAAAGAGAGGGGGAAATCTAAGGGTGAGGGAGGGTGGGACCCACCAACCCTACATGAACCGAATTTGGACGCACTTTTTGATTGAATCAAAAACCTCCGCTTCCGACTCCCAAAATAGTTGCATTTTTTAATTTGTTTAATTACAAATTTTTTTTTTTTTTTTATGTTTTAAAAAATGGATTGATAATTATTTATTATTGAATTTCTTGGTTTTATTTATTTACTACCGGTTTTAGATTTGGGTTTAGTGTAAACCGGATTCGGACTAAGCACGTGTAAAGCAAATCGGGTAATAATCCAGGGCTACACTTCCTTAATTAGGTATCCCAATCCCCATCATTTCCGGGATAATAATGGTTTACAAATATAATTTGAATTTTCTAATTGATTAAAGATACCGCGTTATTCCAGTTCAATACACTTTAGATTATCTGTATTTCTATAATAACACTTTCTCACATTTTAAAAATAAATTATATCATCATATAATTATATTGCAAATTATCACTATTTTCTCTGCATCTTTATAATTCTAACCTACTCTCAAAACAACAAAGAGGATAAAGTTAGGGGCAACCCCAGTCAAATTGGTTAAATTGTTACAAGGTTACAACTTCAATTTATAGCGAGAACAGTCTATTGACTTTTTTGATTTGAACCAGTTAAATTTTTTTTTTTTTTGGGTCAATCACACATTGTGGTCCGGGTCTTTCTCTGTCCGTTTAACCAGTTAATTATGGACAACATACTTTGTGGATGAAAAATAAATATATAAAAAAAGTAACAAATAAATAACACACGGGATAAGAAATTAACCAAATCAGAATTGTAATAATTTCTAACTCTCCTACCTTCTTTTCTGAATGTACATTTAAGAATACATGCATGCATTTAACCAACTTATTCAAATGCCCAAATTATGCTCCGTATTGGAATATATGTCCTCAATTTCATCACAACACAAAGGTGAGGTTAAAAGTATGAGGTCACGATTCATGAACACCAAAACGTTCGTTGCGTATGCGTGATATCAAATCCTAATCAAAATAGAGAAAAAGAAGGCATCATATATATCATTTCCGTGGGCCATCAAACAAAGAAAACGCTCGGTACAAATTATATTTGACGTGATAATGAGATTTAATTAATACATGTATCAATCAAAAATATTGATATTCTTTTAAATTTTTAATCACGAAATGCAAAATGAATATTGAAAAATGAAATTAAAGTAGATTCACTAATATAGAAATGAATATTGGTGGCCGAAAAGAAAAGATGTATATTTTACAATAGACGCCTATGAACAAGTTATTAAATAGACGCGTATGAACAAGACGCTGAAAATATTATAATTGTAATGTAAATAAATATCATTGGATATAAAAATGTGATAATAAAGTATATACTTGATAGACATATAATTTATATTTCCTCACAACAAATTAAAGTTGCTGCAATTATCTTGAACTCTTTCTATCATGAAAAGGAGAAAGTGAAGAGTGTCTTGAATCAATGAACTTAATTGAGTCTTTAATTTGATACTCAATGGATCGGGTATGTATGAACATCAATCATTGATAAATCTTGATGGGCGGTTAATAAGATCAGTTTTCACATTCTTCAGGAAAACATTGTTCTTATTTGTTAGGGTAACATATTTGTTGGACAGCGGCTCGGAGAGTCAAGAGTATCCTGTCATCGAAATGTGGCACTGACTGTTATGTAATTAAAAAGAAATAAAATTGTGTCTTTGCTACTAGTTATAACTTTTAGTGTAGTGGTAAGCGCTTGAACCTTACAATTAGTATCAGCGTGTCACTGACTACTACGCAAGAATAACTACTAGATATAATTTTGGTATAGTGGTAAGTGTTTGATCCTAACAATTGGTATCATAGTTGGTCACAACTAGGAGGGAGATTATTGGAGGAGGCTTTGAGGATCGACTATTACACAAGTATAGAAAAATAAAGTTGCACATTTGTTACTAGCTATACCTTTTGATGTACGTAGTAATAAGCGCTTGATCCTAACAATATTTGTTTGAAATATATATATATATATATATATATATATATATATATATATATATATATATATATATATATATATATATATATTAAGGGAAAAGGGCCAAATTAGCCCCCTAAGTCGAGTGGATAGTGCAATTGGATCCTCTAAGTAAAAAAAGTTCAATTCATATCCCTTAAACCTATAAAAATGTTCAATTAAGTCCAAGTTGACTTATTTAGCAGGTTATTTCTTTAAAAAGTTGACACGTGTCTTTTTACATAATTTTTTAATTTTTTTTCAAAATATATTTATAAGAAATTACTAAAAAAAAAAAAAAAAAGAAGAGTACAACACTGGTTGTCCTCGTGGACAGCCGGTGCGGTCCAAGCCAGAGGGCGATGGCCGTCTAGAATGAGGGCGGCAGCCATGGCCGTGGCCGCCGCCCTAATTTCAGACGGCCATCGTCGTCTGGCTTGGACAGCACCGGCTGTCCAGCAAGGACAGCCAGTGCTGTACTCTTTTATTTTTTTTTTAATTTTATTTTCTTAATTTTTAATAAATATATTTTGAAAAAAAAAGATAAAAAATTATTAAAATGACACGTGTTAACTTTTTAAAGAAATAACATGCTAAATAAGTCAATTTGGACTTAATTAAACATTTTTATAGGTTTAAGGGATTTGAATGGAGCTTCTTTCACTTAGGGGACCCAATTGCACTATCCACTCGACTTAAGGGGCTAATTTGACATTTTTCCTATATTTATATAATGGTTGAGGAGGTTGGCAAATTATTCCATGGACCATGAATATCAGGTACATTTTTAATATATTGAAAGTACATTATTTTTGTACTGAAGGTACATTATTGTTGTACCGAATGTACATTATATAAAATAATGTACCCTTAGTATATTAAAAATGTATTTTTTATTTATGATCCATACAATTGTGTGGATCATGGTCCATGCAATAATGATTGGGATAAAAAGGAATCATATCAGACAGGGCCTTGGAATCCATTAATTGTGATGTCTAAAAACACTCAAGTTTTCCAAGTCAAACAGCGATAGATGCAATGCATTGGCATAAACTAGCAGAAAGATAAACAAAAAAGGGCAGAAGATTAAAGGTGCAAAACATTCTTTGCGTTTGGTTAAGTTTAAGCGGTCTTTAATTTGCCATCTTTCACAGTGCAGTCTTTTCATTACTAACAATTCAGTAAAGTGAAACCATACCATATATGTTTCTGTGGAATTAAATTTGATTATATTGTTGTCCAGCTTATCCAAGCCACGTGTTGATGGATGGTGGAGCAATATAATATATAGGCAATTGTTATACCATGGATCAAAACTCACCTTGTAAGGGGGACCCGGATCTAAAATATAAAATTTACATAATGAATGTTCACAATTTACATACTGAATGTTCAAGATAAATTGTGAACATTAAGTATGTAAATTGTGTATATAAATTATGAACATTCAGTATATAAATTGTGAACATTTAATATGTAAATTGTGTATTCTGAACTTGTAAAGTAGATCTTGATTCACAGAATAATTGGCCATATACAGGTTTACCTGCAAGGATTTTCTTTTTCTTTTAATGGATCACTCATTATATAAATTAAGATTAAGATTCCCACACGGATAAGGTTAGATACATACAAATTTATCATATTTTGATTCATTTGTAATGAGAATTATCGAAAATTTGTACGTAGCAATTTTAAAATATAATTTTTATTGGCTCTACCAACAATTTTATCAAGATCTAAGAGGCCATTTCTTAAAAAGAAAGATCAAAATTTCCCTAACATTTTAAAAAGCATAAAGATATTAGAGTTTTTCTTATATAGCATAGAAATTTTCTTATGTTCAGAAGGGGTTGTGCAAAATTTGAGGCTAAAAAGTTTGAACACATGTGCAGTCGGGCGCACCGAATATTTGTTCGAAACACAGT